TTAGGACTTGTTTGAGCTGGAAAGAAAACTATTTCTTGCCACAACATTTCTATTACTCCTCGTGGTATCCAGGGGCGACCATCTGCCTCCTTCAAATCACGTTTTCTTAAATACCAAAAGAAGCGCCGGTTCATCTCAAATCTCTCAATATCTTGTTACAGCCTCCAACACAAATCATTTTGTTTTGTGGGAGGATAACGTCATTCTATGTGAAAATCTTTACCTTGCGGAGAGCATTGAACCTGGTTGGCTCTGTCTTGTTCCCAACGCCCCCATGACAACACCAGCCTGCGTTTCTATGCAGATACAAATACACTGTCATGACAAAAACACAACTATGACACTGTGGTGCATCAAATGAAGCAAAATCAAATCAAACTTAGTTAATAGAAGACAGTAATTGATGGACATAAGATCTGAAGCATAAAGGTTTGGTGCGACAAGCTTGACGCTACTGGAACGGTTTGTCGACTCTGGTTTTTGGGCAGCCACAGATCTATTGTCGACCTCTCTATTGGCTATTATGTGGAACAGCCTTGGTACCTGGTCACGGATTCGATTGAAAAAGAGGATGCAAACCACAAATAAAGATCTGATCATCCGTTAAGCAGTTTATGCTCGAGGCTGGCCACAAATTCTAAGAGTCGTTTGAATCATATTCTTGTTTCCTTGTCTATTTTCCTAGGACACTCAATGAAGTTGATGCAAGTAAACAATGCCAAAATGTCTTCAACTAATACAGAAGGAATTGAAATCGAGAAAAGCTATGCATCGCTTCTCATTTCATTTCAAAAGCACTTTCAAATATTGAGGAAGACTTCTGATTTACATTTGATTTCTAATTGGAATATCATCGGTGTTTTGCGCAGTAGTTTAGGTTATGTAGTTTATCATATAAGATCAATTCTAAGAGAATTGTTATATAAGCAGTGATGCTGTTGAAAGGGGGGGGGTTGTACTCGGCCTCCCTTGTTAAAAGCCAGAGAGATTTTGGGGGGCCGGGCTCAGCCCCCCTTTAACAAGTGGACGAATTCTGTGTTGGCAACCCTTGATTAGACTATAGATTTATCATTAATGAGCATTTTCTTAATAGTCTTTTGTGTCATCGACTTCAATGATTTCTACACACAACGGAAGGGGGGTAAACGCAAATGCAAGTATATTGGGTGTGGTAAGGGTGTGGTCATGGATATGGTCTCTTGAATTTGCCTACAGCAAAGCCCTTCTTCCTAACTCTTCAGGACGGCACCTCTGTATACGTATAAGACAAAGGGAAAAAATAGAATGTTAGAGACCAAATTCTAATGCATTTTTCAAGTTCTGACAATTACAGCTTGTCAGAGAGGACGTCTCGAGTAGAAAAGATCACTACTTTTATGTATCATACGAACTGTTTGTCATACATTTCTAAACCCAAAATCGTTTACTTTGCACCATCAGTTTCTACTGCGCATTGCAATTATTATCTTATCTTTTTTACGTTACAGTTTTGTTGACTTTAGATGATGTAGTTTCTTAGTTTGGCAATGTAAGGTGTAATGAAGGTAACATTGAATTCGACAAATAGACGACAAGCAATTACTAGCAGCAATGCAAATAGGTTGTGTGAAACAACTAAAAATCCTGAAAAATTTTTGACGACACTAAACAACATCTTGCGCACCAACAAGACTTATAATGTCAATCTTATATGATTTTACTATTCCATACCTTAACCATTTTGTAGATTTAGAACCCTTAAGGCTGTGTTGATACAAGACCGATTTCATTTTGAACTATGCTCAGACCGGCACGGTTGGGGCTGCCGTTACACGGGATCCATCGACACTGTTCCGAAAGAAACTGAAAGATCTAGCGAAACGGGATCACCTAGAAAAAGGTTCCATTGGGATTTTGGAACCATTGCGCAAAGTTCTCTTGTAAACGAGTGGGATCGTTTTAAAGTTCGTTTAGGCACTAAAGTTCGTTTTTTCGCGCCTTCGTAGTACGATGCGATATCGGGACGGTTTCAAACGGCACCGATCGCATGTAACCGACTAGTTGACCAGAATTTTTTAAAATAGTTACAAAAGGAACCATGATAAAGTTTCTCTCGTGAGCGCTGCCTTACACGCACCTTCCTTATATCGCTATACAGCAAAAGGCAACCACATAGCATGAAAAATATTCGGAAGAAAATAAGTGTAAATCTCTTAAGTTAAAAATTTTTTAATCGGATATGAAAATGCAAGTATTCTTGTTGATACTAAGGGGAAAATGTATATCTACTCATCCATCAATGGTGAAAGATATGCCTACTTGATTCATAATGTTTTTACTTTTTGGTTAAGAACAAACAATGAACTTAAAAAATAGTATAGATGTTGGCAAGAAACTTGATGCTCTGCCTCTGGTAGACGCCTCGAATTACATTTTATGTACAACCCTTTTCATTGAAATCGTTTCCGAAACAAAACCAGATACAGGGAGGGTCTGTGAGCGTGACTGATAAAATCATTCATACTTTGAAACCAAAGAGATTTGTTGTAAATGATCTGGTTTTTACAAACATTTGGAATGGCCTTCGCTGGGAGTCAGGAGACGAGGGTCAAAGATTGACCATTTTCTCGCTTATCCTCCCCCCCCCCCCTTTAACTTCCGGACGTCCGAGACATTGTTTTGGCACATCAGACAGTGAATTATAATTTCCTTTTCAATTTCTCCATGCAAAGTGAAAAAGCTCCAAATGGATTTGGGCTTGGGATTAGGTGAAAGAGCTGTGTAAATAAAGAATTAGTTATGTTGTTAGTTCAGGAACCGGTTTGCCAAAAGATGAGGTTACTGAAGCATGAGATCACTGTCTTGAAAAAAATTCAGATATATTGAAGTTTGGACTTTTAGGGTCCTTATGTAGAATTAAAACAACACAACTACATAATGAGATAATAGGATGAACTACCAAAAATCTGAATTAAGCAAGCATTTGCCCTGAGTATGGCATTGAACCCGCAGCTGCAAACTGCATCATACTGACTGTTGCAACGCTGCTCTTCAGTCCGGGTGGCAAGGTAACAGAGGACACAGGTGGGGTTGGGGTAGGGTGCTGCGATGTTGGTTTTGGTATTATTTATCAAAGAAACTTTTGAAGGCCACTGGAAGACTGAATCCGATATCAAAACAGAACTTTGAATTTCTTTCAATTTGAAACTTAAAATATCCACCTCGTCTAGTCAAATAATAAACAGAACAGCAAACTGCAACAAATTTCAAACGGTTTTGATCTCCTAACAATTTTTGCTACCTCGTTTAATGCCTCAGAAACACAGACGAGTCTTCAGGTAGCTTGTCTGGGCTAAAGCTGTGTGAAGGTCGCAGTTTGGTTACAATACCCTTTATAAGTTGCCAATCAAATCCTGGAAATAATATTTCCGCTTTACTTGCTCAGCTAAAATAATTTTATCCAATGAGTTGCGATTTGATTCGTATAATAATGTTGCCAGGGCCAGTGTACCTGGATCCAATATCATAATATGCCTAGAAAATAGGCAATGGCTTATCTGTTCAGTGTGGATACAACATTAAACGAGACTGTGAATGAGTACGGCTGGAGAATCATGACTACAAATCATTCTTTCCTTGTAAAACTGGAATTGCGAAAGAACATGTTGTAGTTTTGTCGGGTATATTGTCTATCTGTAATTATGAGTGGTTAAAGTGATGTGCTTAAGAGTCTGTAACAGAATAGCTTCAAAACGTGTTGTTTCCTCAAAAGTTCAAAACATGAATATTCTTAAGGCATTTACTTCCTTGCAAAAAATTCAGAAAGTTTATGGAAAATTTTAGAAAGAAAAACTCTAGTTCGAAATAGTTTTTCCCTCGAGGTACCCATAACCAGAATTTCATTCACGCCCCATCTTTTGCCCCTTTGCATTTTCTCTGACGAAACCACCACTTAATTTCCAGGTAAAGATTGGTGATTCTTATCAGTTATAAAAGGAGGATCATCTCCTGAATATAATACATCCTAAAAAGTGTGGAAATGGAGTCGATTGTTGTAAAAGAAAGTGATTCATCGTCTGAGAGGCTGATTAACCTTGATTCATCCGATTCCTTCCCTGATAACAGCAACTCTTGTGCAAAGGCGACAGTATAAAAAGACTGAAAATCGGTCTAGATAAACTAAATCTCGACTTCTTTGCATTAGAAACAAATACATTATCGCTTTGCTAACGTAGATTCAGGATTAATACGTTCAACGTTATGGCTTAGGAATTAAACAATATTACCTTGGAGATTTAAACTGCAAATTGACATACAGAACAGCGAAACGGAGCAAAGTGATCGATTAAAAAACAAAGCCAGCGACAAATTTCGATAAGGTCCTAAGACATTTCGTGGGTAGAGTTCGTAGAATTTATGTTTTTGATGCTGAAATCGTTTTTCTAAGCAAATAATATTTCTAGGATCCGAAAGATGTTCAAGAATTGCGGGCTAAGGTGTGAAATATCTACACTCAAATCGCATTGTGCTAAGTGATCCTAGCGTTGTGATTTCCCCTACTCCTTTCTTGCCAATTCATTCATCTATTAGAAAATCTTATATTTCTATTGGTAAAACAAATTCGGTTCCAGAGTTTTAGCTCGTGCAGTTGCATGAATCTAAAGAACCATTACTCATGCTTCACACGACCCCCGTGCATGCCCTGAGAGAAAAAGCAACGGGCCGTAGCAAGTTAACCAATCAGAGGCGAGAGTGGACGTTCGGCTTTTAGGTGTCAAATAATAGGCTCATGATCACGTCAGTATAATATAAGGTTGGCTATGTCAGAGAGTAGAGAGAGTAAAACACTAGCGTTTCTGTAAGGACGTGCGCAGGGCCGTATGTGGAGTGACTGCCTGGTGAGAACAGATAGCGTTCTACACCATCGGCGTGTACAAAATTAAATAATATAACCGCTTCGAATAACGGATGAGCATTCCCACATTTTAAAGGGAATAATTAAATTTTGCAATATTTTGCAGTGGAGAAAATTGAATTTTCTGTCATGACGATGAATACTGTGGAACGAGATGGCCAAGAAGAGTTTGAGGCTGAAACTCGCACTGAGGGACATGATTTCAAAACAAACATAAGCAAAGCTGTGACCAACGTATTGGAAGGTTAGTCCGCAATACAATTTTCATATTTCTTCATAGATCCACTTTCATGTTCACGCTTCGTTTCCTTTACGTTCAAGACTCTATCGAGATTACGCTTGGCTTTAGAAAATTGAATTTCACAAAACCTTCTAATCTTGCGTTAATGATTGAAACGGTGCATTTCAAAAGCATCATACCGTAAACCATAACGATTTTGAATACACGGTTCTCGTGCCCTGTGTCGTAAGCTGTTGGATACGATCATCCCCTAACTTATATACAGCCATTCCTTTTTCTGTTCGCAGAACCGGCGTGATAGAAAGAGTTTTTAAGGTTCCTCTGAGAACCGGAAATTGAATTTTTAATGAGTTGTCTTACGGATATAATTGATAAATTCTCTAACTGCGATCGGAAAACCATGAGTATTCAAAATTTTGTTTATAGTAGCGATATAAAGTAAAATTATGAAAACTTAATTTAAATTTCTACTTCGAAATAGTTTATATCTGCCTGCAAAAACCTTTTTGACTTCTGTTCTGTGATCCAAGTGATTTGCCAGCTAGGGGCTGAAAATTGCCTACATTACTCTAGGAAGAATATAGGTTATTCTAATTGTCAATATTTTTTTAATTTAAGGAATTTTAAAGGATAAGATTTCATGACGGAACTTCGCCTTGAATATAACTATGTAATTTATCATCCCTATCTTTCTCATTCGATTTAAAGGTATAACAATTTGGTACCCTTGCATCTAGTTTGAAAACGTTATTTGATGACAAATAAAAACAAATGAAATCTGCTATTACCAGGCAAATTTATTCCCTACTAAACCCCCTCTCACATCAGATAACTGAACATAACTGTTCCAATCATTTGTCGATTTTCTGCAGTTTCAAATCGACAACAAAAGTCAGAATGAGCTACAATTTAGCAATGTTTTCGTGGGCACAGTACCATAACCTAACCGATTTGAAGTTCCAAAACACGCAGGTTTCCACGTAAAGAGTGTGGGATATAACGACGTGTCTCGGCCTCTTACTACACAAAGCTACATCTCCTCTGTACGCAGGAATTTCATAATGTTTTGGCACCTTGAAATAGGATTATAGCAAAGCCATAGCATCACAACCCCCAGCATCTCAAGTTATTGGTGCCTTCATGTATAACTGCCTTCAAGCTAAATGATAGCTTTTATTGTGTTGCTGTTTATTGTTCGCGCCTAGCCCCTATTTTTGGCTCATTCCAAGTAAAAGGATGGGTAAACTACATCAGTTATTATAGCGAGAGTAATCTAGTTTCCAAAATATCTGCATGCCCTTGTGAAGCACTTGCATAACTTTCGGCATCATGTCGATGTGTCAAGAAGTCGATTTCCTGGAAAAATTCCCGTCGATAAAATACACAGAAACATACCTCCGTGTAAATAAACACGCTTGAAAGCATATAATTGTTTATATGAATAGAAAAGATTTTCAAATATAACGAATAAATATGGGTTTTGCAGAATGTAGACTTACCAATTGATTGGGTATTTTGTGGCTGAACCCAATACCACAACACTCAGAGAATTAAGTAGCGGTCGTAACCATTCGTTAATTTTCTCGACACCTACAAGAGAAGCAGACTTCTGAAATTCAGGGGTTGCTTGCTCAACCTAATCGAATACACAGATTCAGCTACAAAAGCAGAAATTCAGAGCTTTTGATTTTGCGGTTCGAGTTTGAGCTGAGACATCGTTGTAAGTCATGAAATAAGGATTAAAGATCATTTCAATGCTATCATATAATTTAAGGGGTGCTGTTAAATGGTTTATATTTATCGTAAGAGTAACAGTCACTATCCCTCTAGCCAGCAAGACGAATGGGAGGCTGAAATGCTAGAAATTAAGCATCAACACATACCAAATCTGTTGTTGATATTTATTTCACAGGGTGCTTTGTTATTTATAGCACTGGTTTGTCCTAATTTATCGCTTATACAGCTCAAAGAGTAACATAATAGCTTTTTCTCGGTCAATGCTACTTGAAAGAAATATGAAATTATTCAAGAAACAATTATTCAATTTACACACAGTACAAAAACACAGTACAAAAACATATAATTTTTTATTAGAAAAATCAACTGCCTAGGACAACTTGTTGCTCTATTACGTGGTGTTCGTGAATCTTTAGGGTTTACACAGACTGCTTCGAATGTACCGAGTTGGTTTTGCTATTTTACACCCGACCAATGTTTAGATCAAAGATAACGATTGAAATTCCATGCACGTTTCCCTAACCAATTGATGGCAAACTAAATAACGGAACCGTTATATTTAATTTATACCAAAATCTGAAGTAGGTAGAGCTATAATTGAATTGTTCTCACAAGCGCACATTTGTACAGCCAAACACGATACGGCGTAAACAATGGTCTGAACACACATAGGATGTTAAGCATTGAAAAAAATATAAAAAACCGGACCGTTATGTTTACATGCCTGTATTTATAGTGGACTTAACAATAGTTTGAATGAATCAATGTTTGCCTACGTTGCTACATTTTAAAATGTGACTTTAAAGGAGTCTTTTCAGCTAAGGAAAATTTAACGATAGCTAAGCTCCCGATACGCGGGAACTGCCAACGAACAAAGTCGTGTTTCACAAAAAGTTTCCGCGCTCACCTTCCCTTCAAAATATCGAAAACTCTTCATCCTCAGCGAGACTTTAGGCTCTGTCTTGATATGTATCTTTTGATAAATAAAGTTCAGTAGGACGAGGAGCAGTCGGTAAGGCCATCCAAGCAATATTCCAAGTTACGTTTGGACGAGACATCTCAAAGTGACGACGTTTTCCGTGTTCCCTAAGGAATGGCGCGCAGAATCTTCAATCAAATTCATGTCTCTAGAGAGTATATTCAACAAAGCGAGAAACAAAATGGCGGGCAGATCATGATGTCTTGCCAAATGAAAGCCGCAATTCTATAAAATTTCAATCAATTCATCCAAAATTCACCAAGTTCCGGCTGTATATCTCAAATCAACGCTAAAATTTTAGTAATACAAAGTTCCTTGTTGAAACGAAACGAAACTAGATTGAGTATATAATCATATAATCGTAATACACGTTTGATATTTTGTAAAAAGTCAACATAAATGGGAAATAATCTACCAAACTTTAATTTGAATGCATAAAAACACGTTAGCGGTAAGTTCTGAAAAGCGATATTCGTAGTTTACCCAGGAAGAACTCTTATTAGGGGACGAAACTAGATTGGAGTGATCCTTGGCGCTTCGTAAATTAAGCCAGTATTTCAATTGGAAGACCAATTGAGCATATGAAAATTGCCTGAGCGGTGAGCTTAGATTGGGATTTTACTTCTCCCAGAAGTTTACCCACAGTATTAAACCGACACTGACCGGGAATTGTGTCTATCGGATTATGTTAAGTAAAGGAATTAAATTGTGGTGCTTACTCAACCGTATTCATCGTAAGATCGCGGATTTCATCAGCTGGGAACAAACTTAAAGAGACGTTCCCGCCTTTCTTGATTTGTACTGAAGTAAAAAAGACTATAAGCTATCAACCACCGTTATGAGCTCGTAGTCTTTGTCTGCAAAACAGTAAAGATGTTGATCAAATTTGACCAAGAGGCGGTTTGAGATTTTATAGCACATCTTTAAACTTCCAGATTTTTCGCATCAACGACATCAAATTATCTTTCCAGCCATAAGCGAGGATTTGAGCAAGTGGTCTTTGTAATTAACTGCTAAATGTAACGGGCCTATGAAAGTTCGTATCCAATTTTCTCTCTCAAGTGTACCATCCCTTTAGGCATTTGGATCGAAAAGATGACAGTTAATGGCCGCTACTCCTGCACATAAATTATATGGGTTAAATATTTGTAAAGTAAATGATAAATAGTTTATCGTGAAATGGTACAAAGGCAAATGGTATATGAAAAACATTTCATGATAGATTGTACATAATAAATCTGTACATTGTACAATGGTGCAAGGTTTACAGTACACAGTAAACGGTGCATAGTAAACAAAAGCATACTAAATTGTAATGGCACATAGTAATTGGTACAAAATTGTAAATAAAACATGGCAAAAGGTAAAAAATTGTAAATGAAATATATACAAAATTGTCAACGGAGCATGCCAACAAGCGATTATAAATCGGCGTAATAACATCCGCACAGTGGTTTTGTGAAGGAATTGTGTTCGAATTTCAACTGCACGAAGGCATTTCTAGATGGACTTAGAAAATATTGCAGTTAAGACATTTAAGATCCCTTGTTGACTTATTGAAGCCTTTGGCGTCAAGCCTGACATTAAATAGCTTCAGAACTGCAGAAAGATACAAGTAAGGAAATATGAAATAAGTTTTATATTAAGAATGTTCGAGAATATAGTCCATGTGGGTCTTTACAAAGACTTACAGCAATGTCTTGAACAACCCGAGAGAAAAGATGACAACAAAGCCTGAGGACATTGACTGAAAAACAAGGCGTTTGCAGATCCACCTTTTCAGTATCTGACTGCAGATGGAGGATATTTTCAATCAACAGGGAAATTACCTCACAATACCAAGTGAACAAAAGAAAAACTCCGTACCGTTATGTTTTTAAAAAATAAGCCACAGAAAATTGTTTCATAAGGATGTTGACGTTTGATACTTCGATGCGGCGGAATTTGTCCATTGCGCACGAAATGATTCGCAAGTCCTCACTATTCAATTTTGCTGTTTACTTTAAAAGGAACAATAGAATTTACTTTTTATCAAAACTATTCGTCGGGCCTAAACTTTCCTGCTAGATGATGCCACCCTCCGTGCTCATGAACCTCTGTTTCCCCTGTTTTCTTTAGGATTAAAACAGTTTACCATTTTTGAGAGGGTGCTGGAAGAAGGACAGAAAGCTTTCCTAACCCAAAATTAACATTTATGCTCGCTGATGATAATAGCCACTTCCTGTTTTTCACTGATTCTAAAATTAAACCGAGCGGAAAAAGGCTTCATAATATATTTTACGATGTTTTTGAATACTTGTATACCTTTATTCCTTGACAGAAAGTAGTAAAGTATAAATGTTGTCCCTTATATGTATGTATATCAAATTATACCATATCACAGTTAATTCGTAAAAGGTTTTACTTTTTTCGTCTTGTACTTGGGTTTCCTCTTTCTTCTGATAATAAATATTCTCACGATTGGGCAGAAGACAGGAAGAATAAGTATGTAGAATGTCCGAGTTTAAATGGTATGAAACCGAAACTGCCCTAGGATACAATGTCTGCCAAAGAATGTACAGACTAACTTCTTACATCTGCCAATGAATTCAGTCATAACTGAGACAGGAAACCTGGGATAAATGCTAACTAGATAAGGGTATTGCAATGTTTGATAACCAAGGAAATTGTTCCAACCGATATCTCAACCAGTTTTATTCACTAACACAATCATTATTTTGAGCTGTCTAACCAGTTTCATTATAAAATTGGTATGCAAAGTTTGATATGCATTGCTTGACATTTAAAAGTATTTGCAAAAATTAAAAAGAAATTACTTGCTTTCAGGATACGATTTGGCACTGGTGCCTATGCCAGTCCGGACAGGTGCAACGTCCAAGAACAAGCCTCATGTGAAACGCCCGATGAATGCGTTTATGGTCTGGGCCCAAGCAGCAAGGCGAAAGCTAGCGGACCAGTACCCACATCTCCATAATGCTGAACTGTCAAAAACACTAGGAAAGCTGTGGAGGATGCTCAGCGAAGGGGAGAAAAAGCCATTTGTTGAAGAGGCGGAGAGACTGCGCCTGAAGCACAAGAAAGAACACCCTGATTATAAGTACCAGCCGCGCAGAAAGAAGAACATGAAGGGTGGGAGCGACAGTAGCGAACCAGAGATAACAGCCAGCGATCTGTTGCGTGTGATCAAGGGGGAACAGGTTGACCTTGGATCAAAGAGCAAAAGCCTCAGCAGTCTTGCAAGCGCGAGCAGTTTCGATACAAACCACGACCTTACCCCATGCATGACTCCAGAAGGGAGTAGTCCAACACTTGGAGATGTCATCAGCCCTGACGGACAGAGCCCGAAGCCGGTTCCGTGGCAGTTCTCACCATTAAGCAACGATGAAAGTGCCGCTTCGCCCACTGGCAGCCCTATGTCGAGTAACAGATGTTGTCTGCTACAGAATGGCGTGCAAAATGGAGCTGTACATCCAAAACTCGAGCCAGTGAGTCCAGAACACTGCAGGCCAGAAATGGGGATCAAGGAGGAACTACCTAGCAACAAGAATAGTAGCAGGGACGTTTCTGGTCCTGATGTGCCGAGAGAGTTCATTGCTGTCTCTGATATTGATGTTGGCGAATTTGAGCAATACTTGGAAAGCACAAGCCAGAGCATAATAACGCACTCAACAATGCTCCGAGCTGGTGCTCACAATGCAGCAACTTCTTGGCGGCAAACTAATTACCCACCGCCTATGCAACATCAGTCTCAGCCAGCCCGCATCAATCGTTTGTCAAATGCAAAGCTGACCAGCGTTTATTCTGATTCCAGCATGCAAATGACGCCAGCAGTCTCATACCACGAGAGACAGCAACGATTCAGTCCCTACCAATATCACAAAGGGAATAACAACAACAACAACAATAATAATAACAGCTTGAATGCAACAAACAACAATTATATCCACAGTTACGGAAGCAGCCAGATGAGCTCCTTCAATTTCCCGCCAAATATCGATAACCAACCAATGCATTTTTCACCACCCCATCCGAGCCTTGCTCCTTCAAACACGAATCATCCGGCTACGCCAATAAACAATAATTTTTACATGATGAACTCGGGAAGTTATCAAGAGGCCGACAATATGCAGTATCAAAACGAGGTACCATACAACCATGTAGACTTACAGCAAACTAACCCCTATTCATGGCATCACAATATGCCTGCAACAGGTGGTTACGGACGAATCTAGAAAAACTGAAATGTCGTCTTCAGCAACAATGTGATTCTTCGTCTCAGAAGTTTGGAGAAACATACATGAAGTACTCTTTCTAGATACTTCCCAGCAGAAAGTGAATCCTTGAAAATTTTACATCAGAGTTTCAGTGACAAGGTCTACTGGTATATGGTCCTTCTGCGTTCCGTTAATACCGAACAAGCAGTTTTGGACAGTCAGATGGAGCAATTATGAGCATGTGTTGTTAATAGAAAGTTATGAACTTGGGACAACGAGTTGAGTAATGTCAAGTATAAGCGCATAAAAGAAAAGCAGAAGGCACAGGATCATTTTCAGGCTAGCACAAACCAAGGTGTAGTATGCGTTCTGCATTAGTGCTAGCTTTTTTGATGCCATAATTGGGCGCTAAACCAGCCTGAATTCAGAGCTCCTCTGAATACTACACCCTTGCTGCTAAGCTGAAATTTCTAAATTATTTGGGATATGTTTTCTTATGTAGCAGGTCTATATAATGTATAATGGACAGTCTTTGTTGCAAATCGTTTTAGAATTCGATGGCAAAAGTTTTAAGTAAAGAATGCAAAGCTTTTTCAGAACAGTCGTATAAGAAACCTTAAGCAAAATAGTGTATATCGATAGTTTTTGTTTTTTTGCGTGGTACGTTGGCTGTGCCCTATTTTTGGAATAATTTAGAGAGGAGCTTCTATTTGAAGGAGAGGAGATCTTAAGTGGGTCTCGAAATTTTTCCCAGAGAGATATAGAACCTCGATTTTTTTTCTCTAAGCTCAGTTAACCTTCAAAAGGTGTAAGTGAAAGAGAACATCCATCTTTGATTTTTTGTGTTTTAAGTTACGCCTCCACCCCCTTTGGTCAAAATCCATCCCAAACTCTAACCCTAGGTATTTTTTCGCCTTTAACACCGCCTTGAACTGGAAACCCTAGGGAAGGAACCAGATATATGAATTCCTCAGATGCTCTCGGGCTTCTTGGTTTGTGGAATGGTTAATTAATATGGTTGAAATTTGAGCTTCCCTTAGATCAAATTTAAGGAAGGGATCGTGGGAACACAAAAAGACGCTACTCCATTTCAAGCAAATATTGAGAGGAGGTTCTCAAAACCAATATTGATTTTACAAATAATCTGCAAACTGAGAGAGTTGCTCAGAGTATCCGCTCAGCGAAATTAAGTCTGTCGGTATTCTGTCTCGCCGTTTGTCTCCTACACCAAGCTTAGATGCTTAACCTTGGCCACATTTCTCCTAGGATTGCACTATTGTCTCCAACCTTCCAACCAGAATGAAGGAAAATCTCTAGTAGTTCACCCCCCACTTGAATGCTATTAGTTGTCTCAACTTGCATTGCCCAGGGTTAACACAGGGTTTGCTGACAATAAGAGTGTTAAGACACCAAGCCCTCGTGAATTATGCTCTTATCCAGATACCTACACAATAACTGCAAGCGTTTCACCGCATATCCCCGCCTATAAGTGACTCAGTATTACTTTCCCCTTTTCTCCATCAATTATCTCAGATACCAAACCGCTTAGAAGCAACAATTTAGATAAAGGAGTTCCTAACCTTCCTGCCAGTTCTTTTTACTAATAGTTAATTCCACGAATCGACAAACTATGCTCACATAACATTTGCAGCACTATTAGTGGTGTAAGCGAATAACGTATCTACGGAGACGGTCGCCATTTGTAATCCACTGATCCCCAGTCTGCAGTCTGGCTCGCAAAGACCATACATAGGTCCTCTAAAGAGGCCGCTCGCCTTGCAAATCATGCAGTTCTCACGGAGAGCTATCCCTTAAAGTTGCTGGCTGCGACTAGAGTTTATAACTGAATGCTTTTAACACCCAATCTGCAGTACCACTGTGTCACTTGCGCATACTCTCGTATGCTTCATCAAAGCTAATCATTAACGATTTCGTTGGACAACTGTCAAACCTCGCCGACTGGAACATTCGTCCTGCTCTCACCAGCATTTGGTTCCACAATTTATAACTTATGCACATTCTGGCTTGGTAGTAAATTTTGTAATTTTGTCAAGTAGAGTTCGTAGTTTTTTAGCTGTTTGTTGTAAATTTTATATTACGGATGCCTTTGTACAAAATATTGATATTCGCCTATTTATAATGGTTATAAATGAATTTGAACATAATGTAGCTTGTTTAATCAGCCCTTTAGTCGCTGTAATTTGCCTATTAAGATAGCAGATTTTTGATTACGTGGAGTTTCATCAAACATGAATTCCCTCTACCGGTTTTATTCTGTCCTTTTTCTTGCAACATCAACTTCTCCGTAGTATTGAGCAAAAGTACTGAAATTAAGAAAAACATCACAAAATCAAACATACAGCTCTCATACTTCCAAACAACATATGAAGTATGGAGGCAAAGATAACATATCATAGCATGATATAAAAGATAAGCAAAAAAATGGGGATGAATGAAAGTTATTGCCAGTGTTTTGACGTTTCGGTCCTGTTTCACTATAAGCGATCAGTTAAGCTACTATTAATCGTCAAGGTAAAAGATATAAAACATTGTAGCTAATTCAATGACTACTGCAAATATAACCTATCCTAAACTAGCATCTTAAACGTGCTAGTAAAATCATGAGTGTGTGGATAAAAAAAAGGCCACGATGACAGGCTGCTCGACGGACTCCGATGGAATTCTTGCAGCGAAAAATTGACAAAATAGTAGTAAATAAGTAGCGACGCAACGTGACGAGGATGAGCAACAACAAACACATATAAATCAGTTTTGGCTGATATTTCGCTCTGGTATACGGGGCTTCATCAGAGCTATAGTCTAATTAAAAATACAAAATGATAAAATTAGATTTGAATGGATGCCATGAGCATTTCTTCAAAATCCCGAAGAGCATTCGCGTTCAATTGTTGTGATATGCTGCGGTGATTCGACTTCGACAAAAACAAAAGTAAAAAATGGAAAATATGATGTAGAAAATACGCTGGGGGCCAGGGGGTCCCCTTCCTTTTTATCAAACGCCAGCTTATCAGTCCTTGAGTCAACAAATGGACGATGATTAAAAGTCTTTTGCTAATTAGTTCCAGAATCAATCTCCTGTCCTATAATGACTAAGCGTGAATATAATAAGGGTAGAGAGTTCTTCATTTGCTGCTCAGGTTAATCTCATAGGGTGGAGCACTAAGTTAAGGTGGTGCTTCCGCCGTTCTCTTTGCGAGCCCACGTAGTGGTTTTATATCTAACATGCATTGTGTCTGCAAACCTGAAACAAATTTCCAAACCACATTTATGGTTTTATTGAGAATGGTGTATAGAATCGCTGTCTTTGCCTTTGTTCTCCTTATGTATTTATCGTGTCATCTTAGACGCCATTTTGTCACAGTCTGTAGCGAATCTAAAATAAAATTAGGAATTTTGGCGTGGCGCAGCATTACATAATTGACTGGAAGCGATATAAAACACGCCAAATCTGCAAACATGCCTTTTTGCTGTTCAGTGCTCTAATCTTTAGGAAAAGACGCTAAGAAATAAGTAATATCTTTCAGCCGATTCTACTAAGTTCTCTAGGTACAATGAAATGAGGGGAAGTGTTCAGCCAAATGGGCAATTATCAGCTCATCTTTACTCATTTCTTTAAGGTTCCTTTCAATTGAACTAAGCTTCTTGTGGCGTAAATCATCAAATTAATTTTATGACAAGGAGCTAGTTGTAAACTATATTGTGATAGATGATTCTTATTTGTATGTGCGCTTTTAAAGTGAAAATTATAGTTATATGCAAGCAACTCTTAAGTGCTACAGAGTAAGATTGTTTGGAATCTAGTCTTCTTGGTTTTATCTAAGAAAGGGGAAAAGAGGGGAAAAGCAATCATTTCTATTGTACATTAAACCTAGTGATAATTTCTTTCCATAAATTTTTATTAGTTAGCATTCGATAATTTCATTCACAGCTATATCTTTTTGTCAACTGTAAAAATATAGTTTAATCAAAATTTTCATCATTCTTCTTGCCGAGATTATACCCCATCTTCGAAAAGAGTTTCTTTATAGCAGCATTGGGTATAGGGAAACCTATAGACAAAAGGATGGGCAACTAAATTTGACCAAATTGGAGAGTTTTATGAGGCAATGGTTAATTTTTCATGAAAAACATGACTGCAGTGCGTTTGAAACGAATGCGACAGTGAACAAAATAACAGTATAAGTTAATGTTTTGCATAAAAATAAAGTTCAGAAGTACACAATTAATTAAAGACTCTAAGTAAAGCTGTTTTTAAACAAAATACATATTCCAAATAGCTAAGCCCGAATTTTCAGAAATATTCAATTGAGTGTTACATAAAAAATATTGGTACCCTCTGAAGTTTCAGAAGAGATCAAAACAAGCCAATTTCCAAAAAGGGCAAAATAAAAACCCTCGTGCTTTTGCAAAAAAATGTCAAATGAAGATTTTTTAATTTTTTCTTGTGCAAACACTCAATATAATGAAAGTTGCCGAATGGAGATGGAAAACCCTGCAAACAGCTTCGCTACCGGAATTGTACCCTGAAGCAACCTTACTTCAGGTTTAAGAGAAAATCCATTGTAAAATATGGGCACATTTCTAAGAAAGATCAAATCAGAGAAATGCCAGCGGCAAGAGGAAAAACACTTATTACAAAATATGTAAGTGACGTGTCATGGGAAAAATTGGTGTGAATCAACAATCGAAGGTAAGAATATTAATTTGAAGATTCCTGGTCAAATCCTGGTATAAAAACCAAGCAATCTGTAATATCAAACTGATCGCCGTAATAGGAAGGATCAAGTTAATATAAAAAATCATCGGTACAAATCCCGTGCTGCAAATAAGAGTATTAACAGGGAATATTTCTATTGTGACGTAATATCATATCAGGAAAGAATTTTGACATTTATCTGAGAAAAGAAAAACAAATGAATAACTTCATGGCCGCAGTATAATGAATGAGAGAAAACGAGAGGAAATGAAAACATTCGGTTTGTTTTTCAGTGTCACAAATTCACTTGGTTTCAAAACATCCTTACGAAAAACAAATCGAAGAAAATTTTGACAAAAGTCATAAAGGAGGAGGAAAGAATCAAAGGAAAAAGTAAATAATGACTTTATTACGGATAAAATCTGTATTGTGGAGGCGGCTGGACAATCATTATAAAGCACTCAATAATGAGACATATTTCGCAGCCAAATTGAGGCGGAACTTTGCGGCGAAATCATTGTTGTTTGAAAAAGGCAACTTATTCACAAGGTCATTTCCAAACTGGCCTACGTTGTGTCTTCTGATCGTGATTTTAACACGGCGTTGTGTCTTCTGCAAACCGGACAAAATTGTTGAGACATAATGCATTTTTTTGAAATTTCTTCTACTTTACGTTGCCCCTGTAAACTCAAATTAATTTTGAATTTGTGTTTTAATCATTTGCATTTAGAAATAGGCATTTTTTAAAGGGAAGAGAAACCCTACTTGGAAAGACTATCGTTGTCCAGAATTGTAAATATAACTCTATCTTCAGTCCTAATGGCTTTATGAATTGATTTGGCTTAAGGACGTGAAAATCACACTCACTAAGTATAAACCAAAACAGCTCTTGAAAGCTTGAACGTTCCTATAATATGATATTGATATCAGCTTTGCTCATTCTTTGGCAACTTGCAAAATATCATTGCACCTTGAATTTACCATTCAAAAACAAACTTTCCTATTTCTTTTAGCCTCACTCCCCCTTCTTGTCACTTCCTCTACTATCTACTTTGAAATCATCCAACCTCTCTCCCCTGTCAGTTTTCCTACACCATTAGTCTTTCCTCATACCCCTTCCACTCCTTTTTTAATACTCCCCTATCCCGACGCAAAAAAACCAATACTTTGTTCAACTTATGAGCGACATCAATTAAAATAATCTCTAGATGTATTTAGCAATAAGCCTTGGGGAAGTGACGATCAGTCTACCAGTCTCTTCTCTGGATTTAACATTAAATTACCACTGAAGCGTATGAATAGACCGACCAAATACAATCAGAGACAGACACTCAGGCGCCAATCAAACAAATGATACATACACGCTGGAGACAAATGCACAATTTCGTAACCAGTTTGTCCCATCAATTCTTCATTCTTAGAATCATATGTCAAAATTTAAACCATAACTACGATTCCAGGTTACAGATGATATCCTAAACTCGATGATATGCAATTTGAGTGTCCACAAGTCTAGCAGAAATGATTAATGTTTATATAAGATATACCCCTTATTTTTCCACATAACATAGACAGCCACGGGAACACTTTATCATCACTTGGTCAAAGAGAACACTTAGAGATGTATCGAAGCATAGGGGGTGAACCTAGACATTTTGTTGCATGTGCTTGATAACAGCAAGAAGAATGGTCAACATGATTATTATTCAATTGAAAGTATCTTAATTGCTCATATAAATAGAGCTACATTTGAACATTGACAACAAGGCACAAGTTGAAGATAGGGGGAGGGGGGCAAGAAGATGATCCAGAGTTGTTGTTTTGATTTTGTGTTTCTCAAGGTCGAATCAGTCATCAACGAAATCGTGACAGAACTGGATGGCAAAATCACAATTACTGTGACTCAATGCAGAAGAAGCATCGTCTAAAAGATTCCCCGCCATTTCACATTGACGATTAGAGCAAGGGCAATTCAAGCATGCTGATCATCAAGATACTCAGAATCAAATGTTCTTGAGTTCATCCCCAAGGCGAACACGCCCAGGTCAAGTTTTCAAAGCAAATTGGCTATTATCTTAGTTTATCGCTAGTTGAGATGATTGGGGATTAAAAATAAACTCATTCATGATTAAAAGTGATAATTTATCCCCGGGGAACTTAACCTTGAACATGCAATTTGTTGCCCTTTAGCTATTACAGATAAAATTTGCATGAGGAAAAGCTTTATTAAACGAACAACTCCTAGCATCTTCAATCATTATTAGTGCTCAAATGTCATTATGCTTAAACTGGAATTTGACTGTCAGATGGTAGATTTTTGTGTCATTCATCCATTCATTCGCATCAATTATGGTTCAACATAAACAATTTATTAGTTTATTCTGGTCAAAACACCTTTCAAACACATAGCAACAAACAACTTGACCGTTCGGGAAAGTTGGGAAAAACAAGATCTTGAAAGCATTTTATGACAGAAATAGCAAGGATGATTCTGGTGTAGTGCAAGCATGGGCAAAGGCCCTCAACAAATGTTTGTAACAACAGACATCATATGA